TACTGGAACTGGTGCATTGTGTAATATAATAACTTGTCTCCTTTCTTTATTTTAGCCTAATACGGGGTGCCCACTACGGATGGGATCGGCCAATCGGGCCTATCGGCCGATTCGATCGCCTAAAAAACAAACGTGTTTGTTTTCAGTTTCAGGCGATCGAGTCGGGCGATCGGCCCGATCCAGCCGTAGTCACGTTCAACGAGAAGTCGGATCCAACGAGGACGACAAGCCGGTCCCAGCAGCCTTGTTGAAAGCGAAACCCACTGTGGTCAGCTGTCTACTGTGCTCCAGCAAGGATCCGTAGAAGAAAAAGAAGAAGAGGACAGCCACTCCCCCCTCCCCCCCCCCTTCCCACCAACTTACAAGTTTCCTGTAGCGGTCCCTGAAGGAGTTGATGATCTCTGTAATCCGACACAAGGCCTCTGAGGAGAAAAACAAAATTCCATATAATTTTTTTTTTAAAAGAGAGACACTCACAAGTACTTTACATTATTCAGCAAAATGTTCAAACTTCAAAAAAAGTTAAGAAGTTAAACCAAGGAGATACAGAACTACAAGCAGTCTAGTAGTTTTTCAAAAGATTTTTTTTTCTTCTTCAAAGAACAACATTTTCCTCCCACCACAATGAGTGCACGCCTGTCTTAGACAGGTTCCACAGTATTTCTCTCTCTTACACACACATACACACATACACACACGTACCTTTGCAATCCTCAGTGTCATGGTGGGTGAAGCAATAGTGCTTGACTAGACCTGTCACAGAGAAGATGGTTAGACAAAGTTATTTTTGTTTTAGTAAGTGTTTTACGGCACTTGCAACACAATAAGGTCATGTAAGTGCCAAAGATTAGAGGTGGTACAAGAGAGTAAGAGACGCAAAAAAGGAGGAGGAGAGATCAGGACGATAGAGCTAGATGTTTGATAGGAAAGAAGGAGCAAACCACACCAGAGCACCCGCCAACCACCCACAGACAAAGTTAGACGAGATGGTAACATGTATGTTGTTAGTTTGAGTATACACACTATAACATGGATAGCTCGAATTCGTCTGGACCAGCCTCGGTAGTTTGAAGGATCCGTAGTTCGAGGGACATCTTACAAAGATAAAGAAGAAAAAAAAACCCAAATGGGACAGCAGGCACAGTTCGACGGATGCGTGATTTCGAGTCTTCTGTGTTCGACCTATCCGTGTTATACTGTATACTACTTTCAGTTGTAGTTTTACGGCACTTGCAACAAAATTAGGTCATACAAGTGCCGTAAATTAGAGCTATTACTAGAAAGAAACATACAATGAAAAAAAAAGAGAGGAGAGATAGGACAAGTGTTCAGGAAACACTTGGTCAAAATTCGAATTCTGATATTGAAAAGGGCAAGTCTATCCTAGAAACTGCAAATTTACCATTTTTTGTGTGCCTTTGATCAACATTTTTCTGTAAATCCATCCAGAAATATGTTTTTAAACTGACGTAAAAGTTTCCAAGCCAAAAGCAAAATTGATAAAAATTCCACAATTGATGGAAAAATGCTGGGTTTTAAACCCCCGAGAGCAAAAAAAAATGTGTTTCATTATTTTGATTTCACCGTAAAACTACACATATGGCTGGGATCAACATTCACACTTACGCTCAAGGATAAGTTTCATGTGCAGAAGACGCTGGCCCGGACGAATAAAGAACGTGTTCAAGGGCAGGTAACACACTTTCTGGGACTCGAACCCTCGGCAGATTTCCTCAAATGGCCTCTGCTTCTTCACCTTGGAGTCGATCTCCGAGAGAATTTCCTCCAAGTGGTTGTAGTAATTCTCGTAGAGCTGGAAGAGAAAGAGGGAAGACGGGGGTGGTTATTTTCACAATGTCGATGTTCAGAAGCACAGGGAGTGTGTGAAATTCAGCGATATTGTCCACGTTTCATGTCCCTTTCAACACTTACACTGTAAGGTAATTGTAAAATTTACATCAATCTCCGACAGGACCCAGCCAAATAGGATAGAGAGAGAGAGAGTCTTAAACCACCCCCCCAAAAAAAACCTAAACTAGAACGACCAATTGGGGATTCAAACCAGGGTCGTCCGCTCCATAGTCCAGCATGATACAGGGGAGAGAGGAGAAAGATGAGAGAAAGAAAGAGAGAGGAGGCAAAGGGGGAGATATACATACCACCCACGCACGAGCACCCCCCCCCCCCCCACACACACACACACACTCTCACATCCACACACACACACACAAGCGACAATGTTCTCCCACCTGTTGGAAGTTGTTGATGGCTCTCAGCATGATGTCCCCCACCTTCTGCCAGTCGCCGTTCACCTGAGGCTGAGACTTCCCTTCCCTGGTAACAACACAAGATGCGAAAAAAAATCTGTTTTAGTAAAGGTTTTACGACACTTGCGACACAATAAAGTCATATCAGTGGGGAAGATTTGAGGTGCTACAAGAGAGAGTATGTTTGTTATAGTAAAAGTTTTACGGCACTTGTAACATAAAAAGGTCATATAAGTGCTGAAAATTAGATGTGTTGCAGGAGAGTAACAAACACACAAAGAAGGAGAGGAGATAAAGACGACAGATGTTTCATAGGAAAGGAGCAAACCACATCGGAGACAGAAAAAAGTAAAAATTAGTCTAGCACAAGCACAGAGCGAACAGAAACATAACGAAAGACGCACAAAACGAAACAGGCACAAAGCAAACACACACATAACAATTACGCACACAGTGTAACACGCACATGGTGAACACTTACGTTGCCAACCATGACCATAGCAAACAGGTTCAGATCCAAATTAATCTTTCCTAATACATGTAAATTTTTTGTATTTCAAACATTTACAAAGCAAAATTCATACCATTAAAAAAAGATGCTGTATCCAACTTTAAGTTTAATATTCTAATTTAAATTGTTAAAAAATGTTTAAACAGGAGCAAAAATTTCTTCCTCCTTACCAGGCAGCCAGCCTCTGCTCCACCTCCTTGAGGAAGGCGAAGTGGAAGTTGTAGATGGGGTCAAAGTAGGCAAACACCACCTCCGACATGGCGTTGAGGATGGCCGGGTCGCAGCTCACCGCGTTACGGAACCACTGGACGGGCACGGGAATAGAGAGAAGGGGAAGGGGTTAAGGAAGATTGTTTCAATATTAAGGTTTTAATATTTGAAAGTTTGGAAAGATAAATATTTTAAGTAAATCTTATTTAAATGTTTGATGGTTAATACACACTTTTCAAACAGTCCATAAAAATAATAATAATAATATTAATAATAATAATGATAATAAATGTTCGATGGTGCATACACCTTTTTCAAACACATGATAATGATAATAATAACAGTGATAATAATAGCAATAACAGAAATAATAATAATGATAATAACAATAATATTAATACTAATGATCAGGAAAATAGTTACAGCTGTATAAATTTTATGTAAATCTCGTATTCAAAGATGTATACACACTTTTCAAACCTTTCATTCTATAATTAGTAAAAATAATAATAATACCGATAATTATGATGATAATAACAAATGACTATGACAATACTAATAGAATGATAATGACTTTAGATTGAGATTTTTTTTACAGTATACATTTCGTTGAACGTCATATTACTTACTACCTATACTATTAGATATCTATCATTCTACCACCTAGAGTTGGGGCCAGCGGACGGACGGGTTTGTTACTCGTGGACTCAGTCAGAGCGAACGAGTAACGGACGGCCATGAGAGCAAACTGCGAACCTCAAGACAGTTCGTTTTTTGGGTCTGCTCCATAATTTTATTCACTGAGCGGGCCGGCGAACGGACGAACTCTAGCAGACGAGATACTCAACGCGAGGTTAGACCCATCGTCTATTGTTTGTTAATTAGGCCTGATGTTTCAAACCACTAGTGGTGCCACAGGGAGTGAGAGGGGCTGGTGACCTAGAACTATGAGTGTAACCTTTCACCTTGTGTGTGGGCACACTGTGTACATTCCAATTATCACAAAGGCCGGGGGGGGGGGGGGGGGGGGGGGAGGGATAGAAAAATTATTTTGTTAATTAATTACATTTTTTTTAATTTTAAAAAAAAAAAATTTTTTTTGGGGGGGGGGGGGCTGTAAGCAGTATGCAATGGAAGGAGTTGCTCCCCGTCCGTCCGCCCGCTCGAATGCATGGAGTCTCTCCGTCCGCCCGCTGAACGAACTGTTGTCTCAGTCTGATTTGTAGCGAGTAGTGAGTAGCGAACTACTCTTCACAAGCGGACGGTTCGTTACCCGTCCGCTCGTTTGTTGTTGTTTTTTTGTTTGTTTTTGTGAAGTGTTTTACGGCGCTCGCAACTGCATAAGGTCATATAAGCGCGCGGGACACACCTAATATTTTCAGTTGGTAGGAAATTTTGAATTTTGCCCGGGTGGCGGCCAAAGCCTACTCTTATCGATTTTAGACCACCAAGGGATCTTTAACATGCGCAACTTGCACACGGGCCCTCTGAGATTTTTCGCCCTTGTCCGAGAAGGCTAGGTGTAGATCTTTCCTACCAGAAGATCAGGGGTGAGGCAGAAAGACAGAAGTAAAGAGGAGCCAAGGCGTAGCAGTAGAAAGACTGCAGAAAGAGTCAGGAGCCCAGAGGAGGGGGCAAAGGAGGTGAGGGGGTGGGGGCAGAAAGTGGAAATGAATGCAGACAACAGAACATTGCTAGAGAGCAGGAAAAGAGGTGAAAGGAGACAATTTTAGAGAAGAAAATTTTTCGGTCGCTACCCGGATTCGAACCCGGGACCTTTGAATGAGAGGCCGACACCTTAACCTCTAGGCCACGAGAGCCCCCCCCCCCCCG